TCTGGCACTAGACAAGGATGCCCTCTCTCACCACTCCTATTCAATATAGTACTGGAAGTTCTAGCCAGAGCAATCAGGCAAGAAAAAGAAATAAAGGGTATCCAAATTGGAAAGGAGGAAATCAAATTGTCTCTCTTTGCAGATGACATGATTGTATATCTGGAAGACCCCATCATCTCAGCCCAAAATCTCCTGAAACTGATAAACAACTTCAGCAAAGTCTCAGGATACAAAATCAACGTGCAAAAATCACAAGCATTCCTATACACCAGTAATAGCCTTAAAGAGAGCCAAATCAAGAACGAACTGCCATTCACAATTGCTACATAGAGAATAAAATACCTAGGAATACAACATCAGAGAAATGCAAATCAAAACCACATTGAGATACCATCTCCCACCAGTTAGAATGGCGATCATTAAAAAATCTGGAAACAACAGATGCTGGAGAGAATGTGGAGAAATAGGAACACTTTTACACTGTTGGTGGGAATGTAAATTAATTCAACCATTGTGGAAGACAGTGTGGCGATTCCTCAAGGACCTAAAAATAGAAATCCCATTTGACCCAGCAATCCCATTACTGGGTATATATCCAAAGGATTATAAATCATTCTACTATAAGGACATGTGCACACGAATGTTCATTGCAGCACTGTTTACAATAGCAAAGACCTGGAACCAACCCAAATGCCCAACCATGATAGACTGGATAGGGAAAATGTGGTACATATACACCATGGAATATTACGCAGCCATCAAAAACGATGAGTTCACATCCTTTGTAGGGACATGGATGAACCTGGAAACCATCATTCTCAGCAAACTGACACAAGAGCAGAAAATCAAACACCGTATATTCTCACTCATAGGTGGGTGTTGAACAATGAGAACACATGGACACAGGGTGGGGAACACTACACATTGGGGTCCGTTGGGGGGAAATGGAGGAGGGACAGGGGGGTGGGGAGGTGGGAAGAGATAACATGGGCAGAAATGACAGATACAGGTGAGGGGATGGAAGACAGCAAACCACACTGCCATGTGTGTACCTATGCAACAATCTTGCATGTTCATCACATGTACCCCAAAACCTAAAATGCAATAAAAAAAGAAAAACAAACAAACAAACAAAAAAAATAACTGAGTTTTCAATTCACTAATCTTTTTGTTTAATTTGGTCTTCATATCATTTCATTTTACTCTGATCTTTGTTATTTATTTTCTTCTGCTAGCTTTGGGGTTTTTTTTTTTTCTTGTTTTTCTAGTTCCTGGAAGTACAATGTTAGGGTGTTAATTTGTAATCTTTCTATTTGTTGTTGTTGTTGTTGTTGTTGTTTTGATGCAGGCATTTGATGCTGTAAACCTCCCTTTTAGAACTGCTTTGGCTGTATCCCAGAGGTTTTTGTATATTCTGTCTATTTTCATTTGTTTCAATTTTTAAAAAATTCTTTCTTAATTGTGTCATTGACCCAAAGATTATTCACTAGTGTGTTAATTTCTTGTAATTGTATAGTTCTGAGAATTCCTCTTGATGTTGATTTCTAGTTTTATTCCATTGTGTTCTGAGAAAATACTTGATGTGATTTCAATTTTTTTCAAATTTTTGAGACTAGTTTTGTGACCTAACATATGGTCTATTTGGGAGAGTGTTTCATGTGCTAATGAGAAGAATGTATATTCTAAGATGTTGGATAGAATGTTCTATTAGTGTCTGCTAGGTCCATTTGGTTTATCTAAAGTCCAATTTAACTCCTGTGTTTCTTTCTTGATTTTCTCTCTCAGTGATCTGTCTAGTGCTGTGACTGGGGTGTTCAAGTCTCCCAATATTATTATATTGCTGTCTATATCTTTCTTTACTTTTAGTAACATTTGTTTTATGAATCTGGGTGCTCCAGTGTTGAATACATATGTATTTAATATTGTTATATCATTTCGTTGAATTGATATCATTCTTTATCATTAGGTAATGACCTTTGTCTTTTTTTTTTTTTTTTTTTTTTTACTGTTTTTGATTCAAAGTTGGTTTAATTTGTTATAAGTATAGCTACTTCTACTTGCTTTTGGTTTTCATTTGCACGGAATATCATTTTCCACTCCTTTATCTTTTTTTTTGGTCTTTTGAGATGGGGTCTTGCACTGTCATTCAGGCTGGAGTGCAGTGGCATGATCTCGGCTCACTGTAACCTCCACCTCCCAGGTTCAGACAATTCTCCTGCCTCACCCTCCTGAGTAGCTGGGATTACAGGTGCACACCACCATACCTGGCTAATGTTTGTATTTTTAGTAGAGATGGGCTTTCACCATGTTGGTCAGGCTGGTCTTGAACTCCTAACCTCATGATCCTCCTGCCTCAGCCTCCCAACGTGCTGGGATTACAGGTATGAACCACCACACCCTTTATCTTTAGTCTATGTGTCTTTACCAGTAAGTTGAGTTTCTTGTATGCAGCATATAGTTGGTTCATTTTTAAAATCCATTCTGCCTATCTATATCTTTTAAGTGGAGTATTTAATTCACTTACATTTAAGGTTAATATTGATACATGTGATTTTCTTCCTGTCATGATGTTATTACTAGTTGTTTTATGGATTCTTTGTTGCTTCATTTTTTTTTCTTCTGTGTCTTTGTGATTTGGTTCAGTTTTGTTTTTCTTTATGCTATGCTACCTCTACACTTGTAGAACAACTAAGGTTATCCTTAATAATTTCTACTGGCCCATTTGCTCCTAAATTTCTTTGCCTCTTTATCCTTGGACATAAGCAGAAAGATTTTTTTTTAAATATGTTATCCACTGGCATATAGTATATCTCCATTTTAACAAAATCATGACCATCTTTTCCTAACTAGATTTTTTAGTGGTGAGTCACTTGCTTGCCTCTTGCAAGTGTGTTTTTTACTAATTTTACTAATTTTACAAGGTCTAGCCCTGTCACCCAGGCTGGTGTACAGTGGCACTATTTTGGCTCACTGAAGCCACGAACTCCTGGGCTCAAGTGATCCTCTAGCCTCAACCTCCCAAGTAGCTGGGACTAGAAGTGTGTACCACTATACCCAGATAATTTTTTAATTTTTTATAGAGAAGAGGTCTCACTATGTTGCACAGACTGGTCTCAAATTCCTGGGCTCAAGTAATTTTTTGCCTCAGCCTCCCAAAGTGCTGGGATTAAAGGCATGAACCACTGTTCTGGCTGAGTTATACCAGAATCTAATTAGTAACCATTCTTCATTTAGATCAATTATAGATTTATTTCTAATACACAATTTAAGAGTTACTCAGAGCAACCTTATTTATATTAGGAATTTTTTTCTCCCCAAAATATCACATACTCTTTGACCTTAGTTTCCTTTTATCTAAAATGATGGGGTTTCTAAGTTTCCCTCTATCTTTAATATTCAGTGAAGTTTGTCATTTAGTATACAAGTGGCCAACAAACATATGAAAAAAATGTTCAATACCTCTAATCCTCAGAGAAGTACAAATCAAAGCCACAATGAGATATCATCTCACACCAGTCAGAATGGCTGTTATTTAAAAGTCAAGAAATAAGAGATGCTGGTAAGGTTGTGGAGGAAAGAGAACACTTGTACACTATTGGTAGGAATGTAAATTAGTTCAACTACTGTGGAAAACAGTTTGGAGATTTCTCAGAGAACTTGGAACTACCATTCAACCTAGCAATTCCATTACTGGGTATATACCCAAAGGTAAATAAATTGTTCTACCAAAAAGACATGCATTTGTGTGCTAATTGAAGCACTATTCACAATAGCAAAGACATTAAATCAGCCAAGGTGCCCATCAGTGGTGAATTGGATAAATAAAATGTGGTACACATATATTATGGAATACTATGCAGCCATAAAGAAGAACAAAATCATGTCCTTTGTAGCAACATGAATGCAGCTGGAGACCATTATTTTGAGCAGATTAATGCAGGAACAGAAAATCAAATACCACATGTTCTCACTTATAAGTGGGAGCGAAACATTGGGTACATGTGATGTCATATCATAAAGATGGGAATAATAGATACTGAGACTACTAGACAGGGGAGAGAGGGAGGAGGGCAAGAGTTGAAAAACTCTCTGTTGAGTACTGTGCTTACTACATGGGTGATGGGATGATTCATACCCCATGCAATATATTCATGTAGTAAACCTGCACGTGTGTCATTTGAATCTAAAATAAAAGTTGAAATTTTTTTTTTAAAGTTTGTCATTTGGGGCACATATTTCCATGTGAAGAATATTAGAATGGGTTTTAGGCTTCTAGGCTAGTTTATAAAAGCTTCTGAACAAGTATTGTACATAAAATATAGTCCAACTAAAATGTTATTCAACTATGTCTAATAAAAATTTATAATATAGTTTATAATATAGCCCTGAAGCAACTCTTACCCCACTTTTCTACCCTATCCTCCAGCAGTTTGTGGAAGGACAGGAGTCTGTATTAGAGAGATAGATTAAATCCAAGTGTCAGAAATTCCACATTAACATGAAAGTGGCTTAATCTGCACAACATCTGGATCTCTGCTGCCCGGTATGGTAGCTACTAGCTACTTTTGCTATTAAAATTTAAATTAGTTAAATAAAATTAAAAATTTCTTCAGTCGCATTACCCACATTTCAGATGCTCAAAAGCCACATGTAACTATTGGTTACCTTATTGGACAGAGCAGATATAGAACATTTTATTATCATAGAAAATTTTGGGCAGTACTGATCTAGCACTGAACCTCCCTATGCCTTCTTCTTACTGCAATGAAGGCAGCATATTGTACTTTTATGTCATTGTGTTTAGTTCTCTTGTAAGGACGAATAAGTTCAAATTGGATTAGTTTGCAGTAGGCATATCAATTTTAATAAAAAATTTTCTTTACCTGAGTTTGAAAACTTTCTTTTGATAGCTTTTAATGTTTGGTAGTGGTGTTTTGTGATGAAAACAAATTATTCATCTTTGGTATCTGTAGAGATAACTTTGAAAAAATGCTTTGTAGGCAGCTAAGATTCTACTACAGAATGGAGCAAACCCTAATCAAAAAGATAAAAAGAGGAAGAGTGCTTTGGATGAAGCAGATGATGAAACAATGAAAGAATTACTGAAATCTTATAGTGCTATTCAGACCAATAATAGAGATGAGAGTGATGGTATAGTCAATGGTATGTATGTCAATATTGCTGCTATTTTATATAGAGATATATCTCTGCTTAGGAAAATCTTCTGATTTGTTGTATAAATTGTTTCATAAGTGGGATAGATGTGTTCTACTTTCATTAAACTCTTAAAAAGTCATTATTTATTTTTAAAAATTAGCATTTTAAAATATGGTTTAATTTATAGATTATGTGATCCTATTAGATGTTGAAATGAAACCTATAGCATTCATCAAACAAACATAAATCTCCCTAACATTGGGTTTGAGATAGAGATATAATTGAAGCCATGCAGATCAGTTTATTTGTAGTAGGGCTGGAAAAAGGTGACATTATGATGAAGATTTTGTGACTAAGATTTCCTCACTTCAAAATTTGTAATGATTCATACATCAATTGGATTAATGCCAATTTTTAAAGAATCTAGTATTCTAGTATACTAATTTGTTAAAGGAAAAATACTTGTATATGTATAATATATATAACAGTAAAAAGAATATTTCAAGGAAATGTACAATCAGGCAAAATTTTATGAACCATTTTTAGCAATACTTTATATTTTATTAAGTATTAAGGTGAGGAAATTGTTCTTCCTTTTCCCTCATGCTCAAACCTTGACTCATAGAAGAAGATACTCAGGAATATATTTATATTCTTGCCATGAGAGAGAATGCTGGGGAAAGCAACTGTGTCACACACTTCTCCCCTAGCCTACCAACATGCTTACCAACTGTTGATTTTCAAAGAAGAATTACTGATATAATTGGTCAGGGTGAAGGATATTCGTTGTATTATATTTCACCAGTGGGCTAGATCATGGATAGGTCAAGGTCAAGAGTGATACAGATTTCATCATTTCATTGCCTGTTACCATATAGTAAGTCCATAGGGTCAACTCAAGGCCTTTCTTAGAGGCCCAGCCATTTCACTCTCCCTCTTCACAGCTATACCTGAAAGTTCCCATGATTTAGATTGCTCAGCTTATCAAGGAAGCCTTGCATTTGGAGTTGTTGATAAATCTATTATAAAGTGATAGATCTATTCTCAAATATCTTTTGTTTCTTGTTTCCTTGATCAGGTACCCGAGAAGGATGAAGAATATAGGGTACAATTATAATACAGAGAAAGGGAATCCAGAATAGGAGTAGGGTCCAAGAGAACTTTACAGAGGTAATTAGTCAAGTCTTAGTGCTTAAGAACATGGACTTTGGAGTCAGATGAGATCTGGTTTCAGTTCTAGCTATGAAATTGGGCAACTTCCTGAACCTCTCTCAGCATCACTTTCCTCTTCTGTAAAATAGACATAATAAACCACCTACTTTACAGGTTCATATGAAGATTAAATAAGATGATTTATGGAAAGTTTTTGGCACCCAGCATGTGACAAGTGCTCAGTAAATGTTAGCCATAAATAGTCAATGATGATGATCAGTGCTGTTTAAGATGTTATATTTGTAGAGTTGATGTATTCTTCCTATCCCCATCACATTAAAACTGAAAAAGGAAGCTATGTTTTTACACATTCTTATTATATTTTCTAATTTTACTTTTTAAAGAAAAAATTCCTGCTGTTCGGTCTAAAAGACATAAACAGTGTTTTTGTGATGATGGCAATCCTGTTGATTCACCTTCCCTCTCATACCAAGAAAGATCAAGAGAAAGCCTTTCTGCAGTGAGTAAAGTTAAAATTACTTCATTTTTTTATCTCAGAAAATGCCATTCTTTGAGCTAGCCAGTTAGTTATTGGCTAATGGCAGTACTGTCTATTTTAATGATATAAGGATTGAAATTTTTTATTATAAAAGATAAGACAGCTAACAGAATGGGCCCAGAAGTTATGCTGTGTGGTTAACTTTTAATTAATCTGCTTTGAATACAGAACTATAGAGTAGTTGCTGTCCTTTAAACCTAGTTTGAGTTCTTTGGCTACTTCTTGTCCGTAGACACTGCCACTGTCATAAATGTGTCTTCACTCGCTTTTATAAGTGTCTAGGAGATACAGGATGTAGAAAGATTCTGGAATCCAAACAGAGAAGAGGATTAAGCAGCCTGGTTTAGCTGTCCTCGATGCCATATGGTTTATAGAAATATAATTTGCTTTGAAACCCACCATGTGAAGGTAGCTTTTGAAAAAAGAACATAGCAGTTGCTTAATAAAATATACATTGATTGATGGATGTTCTTAGTTTGACAAAAACACAAAGCTTAAATAGACACAAAATCTTAACCAAGGTAGCATCCTCAATGAAACATTATTTTGGATAAGTCTTGGCCCATGGAGTCTAAGACTGAGTGCATCCACAATATGAGCAAAGCAGAAAGGTAAGTTGGCACCAAAAGATGTTTTCTTTATCCTTATCTGTGGATAGAGCTTAGCCTGGGCACAAGTTCTGGCCTTTTGTTTGCTTTTATAACCGTAAATCATTCACTGTATAAAGCGGTAAACCTTAGTGGGTTTTTTTTTTTTTTTTTTGCTCGTTTTTTATATTTGTATTTTATAGTTTCACTGTGATGCATTTAATAAATGACAGAAGAAAGACTGCTTTACCAAATAAGTAGATGATTTTGTTACATACTTTTTTAATATCTTTTATTGGCATCAAAGTAAAATTTCAGGGCAGCATACTTCAGAGGCTTAGAGGACCTACATGTTTTAGAAATGAATGTGTATTGAGGATATATTAAAGGATAGGTAATATGAGTCAATCCGTAAGTCATTGTTAATGGAGCAATAGCTATGATCCTACAAGGTCAAACCATATACAAATAGAAAAGGCATGCTCCTGCCTACAAGATCTCATTGTCTTGATGGGGAAATATAATATATAAGACATTATTATATTAGTGTTAAATTATGTAGCACTGAAATTCTTAGTTCTGAGAAAAGGGAAGCCAGCATGGATTAGATAGGTCAGAAATTTCCTGTATGAGATGGGTTTTATATGATAATATTCACTATTTAGGGAGTTCTTACTTTGTGCTGAAATTGTCCTTAGCATTTTAATGTGTTATACAATTCAGGCACAGAGAGGATAAGTAACTTGCTGGAGTCACCCAGATAGGAAGAGGTGAAGCCAGGATTTACACCCTGGATGTGTGGTTCCAGAGCCCACTCCACAATTCACTTTTATAGGAAAGAGAAGGATCAGAGCAGAGTGAATTGAAAGCATTCCAGGCAGGAAGATTAGTATAGACAAGGGCATGTAAGAGTGGTATTAAGTCCCCTTTGTGAGTTTTTGAAAGCATTGTGTTTTGTATTTCTAAGATTATGTATAAGATTTTAATTATATACATTGAGAATCATATGGCCTTAAAGTGAACTTGATATATATATGTGCTTTCAATATTATGTGCTGATTTGTTTACTTTTTCTCTTACACCTATAATTTCAACAGAAGTTAGTGAGAAATTATGATTTATTATATAATTGCTACTTTTACATTCTATTTTCCAGGAGATCTATATAATTGAAAATATATTTGTTTGCTTTTGTTCAAATCTGCAGCATTTATATAGTTAAGCTTATACAAAGTATGAGTGTATTTAGAGCATAAAGAGGAATGAGCATTTTTAGGAATACTTTCTTTAGTATTTTATTTACTCTGTGTTTGTCAACGGCATATCAGAGAGCATATCTACCCTTTCGTAATGAAGTTTCAAATATTTTTATCTGATAGCATCAGACCCTCAGTGCCATTCTACAAGATATAGAAGAAAAACAAGAAAATTTATTAGAGTTTGAAATAAGAAACCCTGAAGATGCAGGTAAATATAGACTCATACTCAAGTATATTTTCAGATATCCAAGGTCATCTTCTTCTTAAGGTTCATGTTTATTTCAAAGCTTACAATGGCGGAAAAAGTGGTCTATTTTTACGCAAGAGGATTTAAAGTGCTAGGAATTGTTAATATCATTAAAAGTAGACTTAAAAAGTAAGTCTAAAGTAGACTTTTAATGATAGTTAAAAGACTTATTTTAACATAATGCAAACTAGTAGTTTGTTGTCAGATAAAAATAATTCTAGATGCAAAGTGTTGCATGAGTAATTTGAGAGACATTCAGAACCATCATCAGAGATAAGCTACTACCAGTGATATGTTTAGATAATCCTATGACAGAAAATGTAAGATTGTGACGGGAAATGAGATTATGTTACCCTGTGGCTTGTCAGCTTCACCCAGCTATGGTAATCCTTAAAAGTAGATCAGAAATAGTGCAGCGGAAGGTGGTGTAGCAGTGACACAACATCCTCATGCTTTCAGAAGAGCACATATAACAGATGGATGTCTTACTGCAAAGATATCTTCCTGTTTTCAAAACACTAAAGATTCAAAATAGAAAATTAGACTCTGATCCCTGACCTAATAATCTTAATTTCTCAAACTTCAGTGAATATGTGCAAGCCCTTGATGACTCACATATATATTTTTAGAGTTATGATTTATGAAGTGGAAAGTAGTTCCTTATAAGTTCAGATGTAAATGTAAGTTAGTTAAAAGTAGTAGCTAAGGCTGGGTGCCATGGCTCAAGCCTGTAATCTTAGCACTTTGGGAGGCTGAGGCGGGCAGATTGCCTGAGCTCAGGAGTTTACCACCAGCCTGGGCAACATGGTGAAACCCCATGTCCACTAAAAAAAAATACAAAAAATTAGCCAGGCGTGGTGGCATGCACCTGTAGTCCCAGCTGCTCGGGAGGCTAAGGCAGGACAATTGCTTGAACCTGGGAGGTGGAGGTTGCAGTGAGCCGAAATTGTGCCACTGCACTCCACCCTGGGTGACAGAGCAAGACTCTGTCTCAAAAAAATAAAAAGTAGTAGCTAAAAGTAAAGTAACTCATCAACCTTTTGTATAGCAGGATATAACTGTTTATCTCTTGTCCTAACTCATGTTTGTATAGCCTTTAAAAAAAAAAAATCATCTCTTTTAAAATTCTACTTTTCATTCTGACCTAATGTGGTACATGTTATGTTTTGAGGAAACTAATATTAAATAATTCATACCTGCAACAAAAATATGCAGTTGGTATATTTATTTTATTTACTACTTGTAATGTCTTTTGCATCCAAGATGATTATTCCAAGTCTATAGTTTTTTCATTATGAAAGACATACAGATATACTTTGAGAAATAACAAAGAGAAAAATGCTCAAATTAGCTACTGTCCCGCCACAATATTTTGTTTTATTTCCAAGTCCCCCTCCCCACATTTTTTTTTTTTTTTTTGTCTAAGAACACAGTAATACAATTAGATCTCAATAAAACTGTTAAAAACATAGTTTGGATCATGCTAGATGTGGTATTTTTGCATTCTTTTTTTCCCATAGTCTTCATTCTTAGTGTTCGATAAATGTTCCAGTTTCCTAAATTTTTCCCTTTTTGTTGAACATTTGGATGATTTCGAAGTTTTTGCTGTTCTTCTACGATATGTAGCTTTTTCTGGACTTATTATCATCTTAGGAAAGATTAACAGAATTGTAACTATTGGATCAAATTATATAAGCATTTTAAAGTCTTGATTTACATTGATAAATTCTATTTTATATATATAGTGCTAATTTTCACTTTGGAAGTGAAAATACTGGTACTGCTAGCAGTGTACACGTTAGTGTCTTTGTATACACTGCTGGTAGCACCGGTTTCATTTTAAATAACCTTACTAGTTTAATAAGAAAAATATGCCTTATATTTTCATTTGTCATGTTGCTTTTTAGTGGTACTTTTTCATTAGTTTTATTCCCTATTTTAAGAACTGATTGTTTATATTCTTCGTTTATTCATCAAGTGGATCCTATTTATATAATGCAGTTATTTACCCCTTTTCCAGTAACTGCTGCAAATACTTTTTCAGCCACTTGTCTTTTTCTTTGTAATGTGTGTCAGTTTTTGTTTAAATATATACAATTTCAATTCTGTATAGTAAAAATTCATCAGCCTTTTTAAATTTTTTTTGAATGCCTCTAAAATTAGGAACTTCTTCCCACCAGTCCCAGATTTTAATTTTATTCTGTTATAACCAATACATTGAATAATCATGATGCCTTTATTTTTGTCTTACTACCCTTAAGGAAGGAGAGGTAAGGCAATGGGACCCTGGAGTTCTTGGTGGTAACTAATTACTGACTGGTTAGCGCTGCCATTCTCTGGCAAGTGTTTAAAACTCAGTCTCTGGAGAGCAGTTTTCTAAGACTCTTCTGAAATTTCTCTATGGCCTATCATGCTGGAACTCCTATGATGTGGCCAGTACACATTGCCCTTTCCCTGTGCTGTCTCATTCTTTTCTCAGCTTCGATTTTTTTCTGATGGACCATTCTACGCAGACTCTCACTCTCAGATGGAAGCCCTCATAGTCAGGGTCACAGGGCAGGTCTCACACCAAGTCCTCAGGACTTTTGCACCTCAGGCCCACTGTTTAAAGGGAAGACAATTACTTCCCAGCTCAGCAGCAACTTGCTTTTGGCCTCATTCTTCAAGGTCTCTAGGTGTTCAAGAAGGAAGGCAAATGCCAATTCATTGTCACCTCAGCTGAAAGTTTAGTTAAGTTCTTTAAATAACCTATGAGGAACAGCCCCCATTAGGCTTGAGGTAAAGGAGAGAAGTCCCATTACGCCTTATTCTTGCTGCTGAGTATGCAGATTCCCACTCAGGTAAGCAACTGCTCTCTAAAGAAATCTCTTTTCAAACTCACCCTCCTCCACATCTGACACTTGTTATAGCTTTGAACTGGCTGAGGGATCTGAGTAATGAGTCCCATTTTGTACATTTCTTTGAAAATTTTTCTTATAGAGGCCTTGCATTCACTTTGCTATCAGATATCAACTGAACTGCTTCAACTGAACTGAGGCAGAAAATTGCCATTGTTAACATTTTATATATTTTTCCCTAAGTATTTTAATGTATAATTCATTTGAATTTTTTTTTTTGTTTGTAAGATAAATATGTTCCCCATCCCGTATTACTATCCCATTTACTTATCCCTATTTGTGGAATAATTTCTCTCATCCTCACTGTTTTGGTAATGTCTAATCAAGTATTAAAATCTTACACATATTAGGATAATTGTAGATTCTTTTTTTTTTTTTGAGACGGAGTTTCACTCTTGTTACCCAGGCTGGAGTGCAATGGCGCGATCTCGGCTCACTGCAACCTCCGCCTCCTGGGTTCAGGCAATTCTCCTGCCTCAACCTCCTAAGTAGCTGGGATTACAGGCACACGCCACCATGCCCAGCTAACTTTTTGTATTTTTAGTAGAGACGGGGTTTCACCATGTTGACCAGGATGGTCTCGATCTCTTGACCTCGTGATCCACCTGCCTCGGCCTCCCAAAGTGCTGGGATTACAGGCTTGAGCCACTGCGCCCGGCCTAATTGTAAATTCTTATTAATATATCATTGATTAATATCACCTTTGATAAAGAAGTGTGTGATACCAAATTATATATAAAATATATTTCTGTTGTCTCTTAGAGAAATATACAAAATATTTTAAGTTACTGTGCCGTGTTATTTTTACCTGTGTTTTAAAATTCAGTTGGAAAAGCTGGTATGACAGGCCATATAGACTTTTAATAAACAGTGTCAAATCTGCTGAACAAAGTTATATCTAAATTCTTATTGATTATACACGTTTTCTCCCTTTGTTAGCATATACATCATATTGTGAAACTAGTCCTTAGCCACAGCATTACGGCAATAGAAACTACTCTGGGGACACTGACTCAATACTTATCCAGTGATTTGATTTGCCAAGAGAATTTCTGAAACAAATTCTACTTCTGAACCTTATGTCATTTTCTACCACAGATTTTCTCAAGTTACTTCATCAAGGAAAATGTGCATTGGTCCAAGAAATTAGGAAAACCTTTAAGAAACAAAGCCAAAAGTGAAAGGAATAACAAGTAGCTTAAAAGAATTCAAATATATGCATTTAACCCTTCCAGTTTCCTACTTGGGAATCTGGATTTGTACTTAACCCACATTTATGTATAAATCATGTGGATTTGTGATGGGGGAAAGGTCATTATGCTTTTACTTGGAAAGCAAAAGAAGAAAGTCAGGAAACTTTAAGTAATTATTATAATGGTGGTTTGTAAGATCTACAGGTGACCTTAGTTTTCATATAGTACAATAGAAGTATTGTTGTAAGTGCAAAGAACAAGAACTGATAGGATGATTCTATTTTTTAAGTATATATAATGTATAATTATATGTGGTATAATTATTTTAAATAAATATATAACATACATTTTTCACACACACATACACACACACCCTAAAGTATTAACAGTTAATCTCCTTTGTGGAATACATTAGAGGAAAGGCAGTGAGGTAAGTAGAGACACTCTTACATCTTTGTAAATATTTATATGGTTTGAAAAAATTTTACAATGTTAATGTATTCCTTTTATATTAAAAAAAATAATTTTAACAGACAAAATATCTTCCTTTACTACCTTCATTTCACAGGTAAGAAAGCTGACCATAGAAGTTACATGACTTAATCTAGGCTCACAAAACTTAGTGGGACAGCAGGATTAGAACTCAGGCTGGCCTGCTCTTTTACAGCATTATTACTTATACACTTCAAGGCATTTCCATAGATTAACATTGTTAAATAAGCCTTAATGGAGATATCTGGGCCATTAATATTGGGGAAGAGGGTACAGCATAATGGCTTTTTGAAATTAACAGTAGGGCTTATTTCTGTATGACCAAATCTGACATTCACTGTCCCTTAGTTAGCTAACTTTTTATTGTCATGTTTCTAGAGCAATACATTGAAAAGATGTTAAAGATAAAAGAGATTATGAATAATGTGCTTGCCAAGCAGAAAGCAGAAAGGGATGATCTGGCTAAAAAATACAGGTGAGTAGAAAAAAAAAAAAAAAAAGAGTGCTTTTGAGTTTCTAGAATTTATCCATTTTAACTGCAGTAGTTGTCTAGAAATTCTTAAGAATACAAACATTGCTTAGGACCAAAAAATGACTTTATGAGGCTAATTATGAAGTATAATGAAAATTATACTTCCCAGAAGGGTATTTTTCTACATTATTACTTGAAATTGTCAGAAAAGAACATTTCAATGTCTGAAGTTGTCTACAATGGAGAATTTTTTGAAAGCCTTTCTGGTTATGAATCTCACAGATAAATTTCTTTCCTTAGCACACTCAAATTTTCTACATTAAAAAATGTTTCTTTTTGCTGTCACACATGTCCTTCTAAGCAGTTAATCAGTTGATTAATTTTGTGTTTTATTGTATTTCTAAAATCTCAAGGTCCTTAAAGAGTTTTATCCTGATTATATTGGTTATATACCTCTACTCATATTTTGTTGTGAAAAAAATGTTGTATTTTTTTTTGTTTGGACATTATTTTTTATTAGTTTTTCATTGACTTAGCTACTTATGTTCCCTATTCTTTATTCACATTCAATTTTCTAAATAAGTCCTCATATGTCTTCTCTTATAATCATTTAATGTCTTATTACATATTTAATTTTTTTCTGAACTTATTTAAAAAAATCAGTTTTCTATTTTTATTTTTAATCCCCATTTTGCCTTCTTCTCCAGTGAAGAGCTAACATAAGTTCAAAATACGATACAGTGATTACTTGGGGAACTAACATTTCTCAGGTCTAGCTGAAGTACGATTATTCACAAAACAATCTTGTTTTCCATAGCTAAGAGAACCTGAGTAGAACTTTCAAACTGTACTTACTAATAAACAGGTAAGCAAGCCCCGAATTTAAAGAATGATGGCTCTCCTTAGCCACCAATGCTACCTTCCAACCAAAGACTAATAGATATTTAGAGAGATGACCCAAGTTTTACTTGCCTTTTAGGGTTGTTTCTGAATTGATAATAATGATATGAATATATAATCTGGATAACCTTACTGTCGCCTCCTTAAGAAAAGGCACACTTACCTTAAATAAAGGAGTCAGATTCCTCTCAAATGAAGTATTTTGCATCAACAGGCAGCAGGTGGTCAGATTTAAAAAATCAAAGGCAATAAACTGCAAGGTAGAGTTTTGTGTATTTTGAAGTGATTAAAATTGAGACAAAGTATCTTTAACCTCTAAATGACTGCATTAAAAAGTTTTCTGCTGTTACTACATTTTTTTTCTCTTTCTGTTTCTTCCCATAGGGTATCCATAGAGTCATTTAAGCATGGAGCCCTGAGAGAACAATTGGCCAACTTGGCTACAAGACAGAAGAGCCTTTTAGCTGTGGCAAAAAAACAGAAAAAAATAAGCCTGAAAATTCAAAATTATAAGAATGTTACATCATTGTCTTGTCTTAGTTTAAGGAAGCTTCCACCCAGATCAGAAATCTTTAGTGAAAAGAACAGCCAAGAAGAGCTCACTACTCTGGAAAATTTAGAGCATCCCCAATCAGTTTCACTTTCCCCTGTTTGTGGAAGCATGCAGGAAACACAATTGTCTCTAGAAACTTGGAACTACAGCCAAAATACTAACATTTGTCTAAATTCAGAGGCAGTGATAAGGGGGGGATTTTCTGGAAATGAGATGAATTCTGAACAAAATATCAGTGATTGTACCTTGGCTGGTTTATCAAAATCCAGACATTCAGATGGCACTGAGAAGATTAAATTATCATCCGAACCTGTTGCTTTTATTGGTCAAACAGAATATTCACAGAAAGAGAATGATCTTATAGAAGCTACAGACAAAGACCATGAATTCTATAGTCGTTCCCCAGTAATTGGCAAATTAAATATTTCAGAAACTGCAAGTATCCTTGCCAAAAGTGATGCTCATCCATCAAATGTTATCTGTGATCAGGACCTTTCCAATTACGACCCTAAAAGAGGAAACAGGAAAACAACTTCCCAGGAACCAGCTAGGAGGACATCAGAATCCCTAGCACGTCGAAGGATTGCTGCCTTAGGCAGTGACACAGTGAATCAGTTGAAACCATATCTTAAAAAATCAGTTTTTGCTGTTCCACATGCAGATGACAGTCAGATCTCCTCTTCCTCCAGATCTATAAAAAAGCCTTTAAACTACAGTACAGCTCCTAAAAAGAAATGTATTCAGATAAAAGATTTGATATTACTAGGAAGAATTAACCCAGGAAATAACATTCTGGAATTCAAAACACAGGTATTCTAGATTTTTTTCTCTAAAATCATGCAAATTTTGTAAATGAGTAAATGTTGCTGTCACATAGTATAGACATTAAGCTCTGATTAGGGAATTGGGGTTTTGCTGGGCTTCCTGAATGGAGGGACACAACCATTGTATTCTAGCAAGTGAATTAATGTTTCTGGAATTGCCCTAATACATTTATTTTTATTTTATTTATTTTTTAATTTTTATTTTTATTTTGAGTTTCAGGGTACAGGGACAGGATGTGCAGGTTTGTTACATAAGTAAACATATGCCGTGGTGGTTTGCTGCACCTGTCAACACATCACCTAGATATTAAGCCCAGCATACATTAGCTATTTTTACTAATGCTCTCCCTCCTCCCACCTCACTCCCCAGAAGACCTAGTGTGTCTTGTTCCCTTCCCTGTTTCCATGTGTTATCCTTGTTCAGCTCCCACTTACAAGTGAGAACATGCAGCATTTGGTTTTCTGTTCCTGCATTAGTTTGCTGAGGATAATGGCTTCTAGCTTCATCCATGTCCCTGAAAAGGACATGATTCATTCCTTTTTATGGCTGCATAGTATCCCATGGTGTATATGTACCACATTTTCTTTATCTGGTCTATCATTGATGGGGATTTGAGTTGATTCCATGTCTTTGCTATTTTGAATAGTGCTGCAGTGACCATACACGTGCATGTATCTTTGTAATAGAATAATTTATATTCCTTTGGGCATATGCCCAGTAATAGGATTGCTGGGTCAAATGGTATTTCTGGTTCTAGATCTTTGAGGAATTGCCACACTGTCTTCCACAATTGCTGAACTAATTTACATTCCCACCAACAGTATAAAAGCATTCCTATTTCTCTGCAACCGTGCCAGCATCAGTTGTTTCTTGACTTTTTAATCACCATTCTGACTGGCATGAGATGGTATCTCCTCGTGGTTTTGATTTGCATTTCTCTAATTATCAGTAATGTTGAACTTTTTTCTTTCTTTTTTTTTTCTTTTATTGCATTTTAGGTTTTGGGGTACATGTGAAGAACATGCAAGATTGTTGCATAGGTACACACATGGCAGTGTGATTTGCTGCCTTCCTTTCCCTCACCTGTATCTGTCATTTCTCTCCATGCTATCTCTTCCCACCTCCCCACCCCCTTTCCCTCCCCCATTTCCCCTCAACGGACCCCAGTGTGTAGTGCTCCCCTCCCTGTGTCCATGTGTTCTCATTGTTCAACACCCGCCTATGAGCGAGAATATACGGTGTTTGATTTTCTGCTCTTGTGTCAGTTTGCTGAGAATGATGGTTTCCAGGTTCATCCATGTCCCTACAAAGGACACGAACTCATCTTTTTTGATGGCTGCCTAATATTCCATGGTGTATATGTACCACATTTTCCCTATCCAGCCTATCATCAATGGGCATTTGGGTTGGTTCCAAGTCTTTGCTAATGTAAACAGTGCTGCAGTGAACATTCGTGTGCATGTGTCCTTATAGAATGATTTATAATCCTTTGGATAAATACCCAGCAATGGGATTACTGGGTCAAATGGGATTTCTATTTTTAGGTCATTGAGGAATCACCACACAGTCTTCCACAGTGGCTGAACTAATTTACACTCTCGTCAACAGTGTAAAAGTGTTCCTATTTCTCCACATACTCTCCAGCATCTGTTGTCTCCAGATTTTTTAATGATCGCCATTCTAACTGGTGTGAGATGGTATCTCAATGTGGTTTTGATTTGCATTTCTCTAATGACCAGTGATGATGAGCATTTTTTCATATGTTTGTTGGCCTCCTGTATGTCTTCTTTTGTAAAGTGTCTGTTCATATCCTTCGCCCACTTTTGAATGGGCTTGTTTGTTTTTTTCTTGTAGATCTGTTTTAGTTCTTTGTAAATTCTGGATATCAGCCCCTTGTCAGATGGGTAGACTGCAAAAATTTTTTCCCATTCTATTGGTTACCAATTGACTCTACTGAGTGTTTCTTTTGCCGTGCAGAAGCTGTGGAGTTTGATTAGGTCCCATTTGTCTATCTTGGCTTTTGTTGCCAATGCTTTTGGCGTTTTGGTCATGAAGTCCTTGCCTACACCTATGTCCTGAATGGTTTTGCCTAGATTTTCTTCTAGGGTTTTTATGGTGTTAGGTCTGATGTTTAAGTCTTTAATCCATGTGCAGTTAATTTTGGTGTAAGGTGTCAGGAAGGGGTCCTGTTTCTGCTTTCTGCACATGGCTAGCCAGTTTTCCCAACACCATTTATTAAACAGGGAATCCTTTCCTCATTGCTTGTTTTTGTCAGGTTTCTCAAAGATCAGATGGTTGTAGATATGTTGTGCTGCCTCCAAGGCCTCTGTTCTGTTCCATTCGTCTATATCTCTGTTTTGGTACCAGTACCATGCTGTTTTAATTACTGTAGGATTGTAGTACAGTTTGAAGTCCGGTAGTGTGATGCCTCCCGCTTTGTTCTTTTTGCTTAGAATTGACTTGGCTATGTGAGCTCTCTTTTGCTTCCATGTGAAGTTTAAGGTGTTTTGTTACAGTTCTGTGAAGAAGGCCATTGGTAGCTTGATGGGGATAGCACTGAATCTGTAAATTACTTCGGGCAGTATGGCCATTTTCACGATGTTGATTCTTCCTAACCATGAACATGGAATGTTTCTCCTCTGTTTGTGTCCTCTCTTATTTTGCTGAGCAGTGGCTTGTAGTTCTCCTTGAAGAGGTCCTTTACGTTCCTTGTTAGTTGTATTCCTAGGTATTTTATTATCTTTATAGCAATTGTGAATGGCAGTTCGTTCTTGATTTGGCTCTCTTTAAGTCTGTTACTGGTGTATAGGAATTCTTGTGATTTTTGCACATTGATTTTGTATCCTGAGACTTTGCTGAAGTTGTTTATCAGTTTCAGGAGATTTTGAGCTGAGACGATGGGGTCTTCTAGATATACAATCATGTTGTCTGCAAATAGAGACAATTTGATTTCCTCCTTTCCTATTTCAATACCCTTTATTTCTTTTTCTTGCCTGATTGCTCTGACTAGAACCTTCAGTACTATATTGAATAGGAGTGGTGAGAGAGGGCATCCTTGTCTAGTTCCAGATTTCAAAGGGAATGCTTCCAGCTTTTGCCCATTCAGTATGATATTGGCTGTTGGTTTGTCATAAATAGCTTTTATTATTTTGAGATATATTCTGTCAATACCTAGTTTATTGAGGGTTTTTAGCATAAAGGGCTGTTGTATTTTGTCAAAGGCCTTCTCTGCATCAATTGAGATAATCATGTGGTTTTTGTCTTTGGTTCTGTTTATGTGGTGAATTACGTTTATGGACTTGTGTATGTCGAACCAGCCTTGCATCCCTGGGATGAATCCTACTTGATAATGGTGGAGAAGCTTTTTGATATGCTGTTGCAATTGGCTTGCCAGTATTTTATTGAATATTTTTGCATCTATGTTCATCATGGATATTGGCCTGAAGTTTTCTTTTCTTGTTGAGTCTCTGCCGGGTTTTGGTATCAGGATGATGTTTGTCTCATAAAATGATTTGGGAAGGATTCCCTCTTTCTGGATTGTCTGGAATAGTTTCAGAAGGAATGGTACCAGCTCCTCTTTGTATGTCTGGTAGAATTCGGCTGTGAACCCATCTGGACCTGGGCTTTTTTTTGGGTGGTAGGCTCTTAATTGCTGCCTCAACTTCAGACCTTGTTATTGGTCTATTCAGGGTTTCGACTTCTTCCTGGTTTAGGCTTGGGAGGATGCAGGTGTCCAGGAATTTATCCATTTCTTCCAGGTTTACTAGTTTATGTGCATAGAGTTGTTTGTAATAATCTCTGATGATGGTTTGGATTTCTGTGGTGATATCCCCTTTATCGTTTTTTATTGCATCAATTTGGTTATTCTCTCTTTTCTTTTTTATTATTCTGGCTAGTGGTCTATTTTGTTGATCTTTTTGAAAAACCAGCTCCTGGATTTATTGATTTTTTGAAGAGTTTTTTGTGTCTCTATTTCCTTCATTTCTTCTCTGATCTTAGTTATTTCCTGTCTTCTGCTAGGTTTTAAGTTTTTTTTGATCATGCTCCTCTAGCTTTTTCAATTTTGATGATAGGGTGTCAATTTTAGATCTCTTCTTTCTTCTCATGTGGGCACTCATTGCTATATATTTTCCTCTAGAGACTGCTTTAAATGTGTCCCAGAGATTCTGGTTTGTTGTGTCTTCATTCTCATTGGTTTCGAAGAACATCTTTATTTCTGCCTTCATTTCATTGTTTATCCAGTTAACATTCAAGAGCAAGTTGTTCAGTTTCCATGAAGCTGTGCAGTTCTGAGTTAGTTTCTGCATTCTGAGTTCTAACTCTGCACTGTGGTCTGAGAGACTGTTTGTTATGATTTCCATTCTTTTCCATTTGCTGAGGAGTGATTTATTGCCAATTATGTGGTCAATTTTAGAGTAGGTGTGATGTGGTGCTGAGAAGAATGTATATTCTGTGGATTTGTGGTGGAGAGTTCTGTAAATGTCTATTAGGTTTGCTTGTTCCAGGTCTGAGTTCAGGTCCTGGATATGCTTGTTAATTTTCTGTCTTGTTGATCTGTCTAATATTGACAACGGAGTATTAAATTCTCCCACTATTATTGTGTGGGAGTCTAAGTCTCTTTGTAAGTCATTAAGAACGTGCCTTATGTATCTGGGTGCTCCTGTATTGGGTGCGTATATATTTAGGATCGTTAGCTCTTCTTGTTGCAGTGATCCATTTACCATTATGTAATGTCCTTCTTTGTCTCTTTTGATCTTTGTTGCTTTAAAGTCTATTTTATCAGAGATGAGAATTGCAACTTCTGCTTTTTTTTGCTCTCCATTTGCTTGGTAGATCTTCCTCCATCCCTTTACTTTGAGCCTTTGTGTATCTTTGCATGTTAGATGGGTTTCCTGGGTACAGAACACTGATGGGTTTTGGCTTTTTATCCAATTTGCCAGTCTGTGTCTTTTGATTGGGGTATTTAGTCCATTTACATTTAGGGA